TCCATCTCCGGGACATGGAGTAGACATATAAGTTACAGGACTCTTTCAACCAGACATGAGGATCAGAGGTATTCTTTCATAGCATCCTCTGGCCCAGCCGTTGATGAGAGAAGGAGAAGGGAAGGGAAAGATAGAATGAAGGAAAGAAAAGAAGGAGGACGAACATGAAGGAGGGAGGCCCCGCGGTTGACATGTAACCCGAGACGGTATATTTACCCGACTGCTAATATAAAGGAGGGTGTTGGTTGGCTTGCGAAGGGCATTTTGCACTTCTGCAAGATTCTTTTGTAAGACCCTGCCAAGTTACAAGTCTTATCTTGGTAAGCGGGGTAAACGAAGCTCCTTTCACTGCACAGCTTTACAGCAGCTTACATGTTTCTGAAGAAGGCATGAGCATTAATCGACGGGAATCAGCGGAATGCCCCTACAAGGCGAACTGCGCCAAAAGGATAAAGCTGTTTAAAAGCAGACGGGAGCTGAATGTAAGACTGCGCGCTATTTTTAAATGATTGCTCACGAATTAACACCTACATATTACATTCTCTATCAATCTTCCTTCTTTTACATTTGAAATAGTTTGACTGCATTTGAAATCCATATTGCTCAAATTGAATATCCCGCTAGACTTACTTGGTTTCCAAGTCCAACACATGCGCCAGTTATAAAGCAGTGATGATCCTTCCGAAGAACACAAATTTTACAAATGGGGCAATGGTGACTTCTGTAAATAATCATTCCCTTCCCAAATTCATCCATCCCATACGAGGAGTCACATGATAAAAACTATTTAAATAATAAAAAAACTTGCAAGACTATCAGCTTACCTCACCGGAGCATCGCGATTGCAGATATTGCAAAACCGAGAGGAATACACCGGATCAATAGCATCACCATTCTCTTAAACGTTCATTCCATACAACTTCATCAAAGCACCAAAACATTCTTCACAAGTTGAACATGACTGCGCTTGGACAGATATAACCATATATAGGACAAACTGTACGAGTACCGGAGCGGCGGAATCACTCCCATGTACAGGTGGATAGCTGCACAACGGCCGAAACGAGCCACTCTTGCCACTCGGAAGTGCAGGGTAAAAATAATGTAGGGGCTATTGATAACTGATTTGTCTCCGTCCGCTACCTGATACGCAACACGGCCACGTGGTGGGCACTGCTCATCTGCACCTCACCACGAGATAGTGTTTCGGTGGGTCACACTGAGACGGATGAGCTCTTCAGAACGTACTTTTTATAAAGGGAGTGCAACGTATCAGATGACGGGCATACAATGTCTAGCCACCTTCCCATGGGCTCTCAAGCGGCAAAGGCAGTAATTGACTCGGGAAGCATCCATCTGTCAGGTATCCCAAGTTTGCCATTAATATAGGTTGGAAGGGGTCTTGTCACTGTTGTGACTTTTTTCTTTTTTATTTTCTAACTCAACATACAGTGGGAATTAGTCAACAATATACTCGTCATAGTTAGCCACTACAGTGCTCCACCTAATGGGCAGGTAAGCATTCCCCTCTCCCAGAACTGAGGAGGCTGCGAGTAGAGTAAGTCAGCGGCCTCTCGACTGATGTCATCAAAGTTGCTGAAAGTTTTCATAGATAAGAAGGCCTAAAGAAGCAAGGTAGCAGTCGTAG